TTATCAGTAGTAGCAATAGGCTCACTGTGTTGAAAGTTGAGGGCATCAGCTGTGACATGATGTGTTTCTCCAGAGTCTGGGAACCAGTTTTGTGTATTGGGAGCTGGTCCAAGTATAGATGAATTTGCAGAATCCCAGACTGCAGTTGGCACAGTTGATGATGAACTGAACTGTGAAGGATGATTAGGTGATGGAGTATAAGGTGGTTGTACCAAATTGAACTGTGATTGATGGGTTGGATTGGGTGAATATCTTGTTGTGTTTGAAGGAGATGATTGATATTGGTATTGATTTGGATATGAATGTGGTGTAGGAAAAGGAGACTGTTGAGGTTGGTAAGGCTGGTTTGAGTAAGGAAAAGGAGATTGTTGAGGTTGGTAAGGCTGATTTGAGTAAGGAAAAGGAGATTGATGCATAGTAGAAGGATTAGAACTGGAAATGGTATAGGCTGGATTGTATCTGTGATAGCACACAATGGCACTGTGACCATTTTTACCACAAACTTGACAAGTTACAGAGCTTCTACCACCTGAACGACCACCTCTGCCTCTATTAAAACCTCCACGACCTCTTCCTCTATAGCAATTTGAGCTGAGGCATTCTCTGAAGTATTCTGAGTTTCAGTTTCAGTAGTAGAAGTAGTTTCAACTCGCGCAACATTAGCAGAAAATAGTAAAATAGTGTTTGCTATGAGGAGTCACGTAGTTTTCTCAGTCGTAATTCCTTAGCCAACAGAAGGCCTTCAAGTTCAGATAAAGTAACTGGATCTAAAATACTTCGCGAGGTGACAGAAGATATAAGTGATTTATAATCCTCAAGAAGACCTTCAAGGATCACATTGATGTGATCCTTGGTGAATATAGGCTCTCTGACAGATGTTAGGTTATCCACAATGGTCTGAATACGAAGCAGATATTCGGAAATAGAACGATCACCTTATCCGGTGTTATACAGTTCCGATTTCAGCTGACGAGCTCGCGCGATGATGTTGGAGCGGAAAAATTGATGAATTTCACTCCATAACTCATGCGAGTGCTTGCATCAGATGACGCGAGCATGAAGTGACTCAGAAAGCGAAGCTAAGAGCCAGGAAAACAACATCTGGTCTTGTTGCTCCCATGTGTTGTATGCTTCGTTAACTGTTTTTGTTCCATTTTCATCAACAGCAAAACGACCTGGTATTTGAGGATTTTCTATGAATCTGAGAAGCTTATGAGCTCGAATTACTGATTCGACATGGTTTCGCCAGAACATGAAATTGTTTGAATCGAGTTTAACATGTAGAGGATGATGAAAGATGATAGGCGAGGTTTGATTGGCAATCTGAGAAGATGATTGCGAAGAAGAAGAAGAATTTGACTCGGAGTTCGCCATGGTAGATCGAGCAGTGCTCTGATACCATATTAGAAATGGAGCAAGGTAGAAGAAGAGAGTGAAATCATCTTATTGAAAAATAGAAAGTGTACAGAGTATTTATAGAAGCTATAGTTGTAACTAACTGCAGCTAATATAACAGAAGCCCAACTAATACTAATTACAAAGCAATGTACGTGTAGCTTCTATATACTATTCCTAACACTTTTCAAATGAACTTGAAGCATGAGAGCTTTCAACTCATTATCTTCTGGCCATTTTAACTTCTGAAATAAGCCAACTTCCTTCCTAACTGTCAACAACTCCTTCCCTGTTCCGAGGTGTTCACTCATGTTCACCTGAAGGGCATCCCATCGCCTCACATCATATAGGTTTTGCATGGACTCGGCAGCCCCTTTTTTCTGTTTCTGGGAATGCTCTCCTTTTAATAACAGGTGTTCGCGCGCTAACTGGCAGCTGACGGGCCGCACATATCCAGCTCCTTACTCAATAGGTGGATGGTTAGAACTTCGCGACTTAAAAAGTACAGTAAACCCATTAGAAATTTCAGAATGAGCTGTGACTTTCCCTCCTACTAGCATTGTCCATGAGACATTCAGAATACATGCTCCAAACACTTCACAGATGGTCATCAGAGACTCAACAAGTTGAAGATCCTTGCCATCAAGGGAAAGTAACTGGACACAGTCTACTGGTGGTGTGCCAACTAGCAGGATATTCAGCATTGATGCATAACAGCTCAGTTGATTCTCTTTTCCAGAATACTCTGTAGAAACTGGTGGAGACCATAGCGTAGTAATGCAGTAGGAAGTGTGTTCCTCTTCAACGACGTTCAGTCTTCCATCTGCTTTCCCAATTGCTAAGAGCTGTTGAATCCCGCCAAGATGATTCCAGTACGTAACATCACCACCAAAGTATTGATTAAAATCCACACTAGGACAACCATGGATCTCTAATTCTCCTATGATATGATAATGGTGCTGTTTCTTTTCCGTGACAATAGTGTTAGCTACTTTCATATGTTCAGCAATATCACCTTGATCATAGTGCAAACTATCAAACCCCGCAGAGGAATTATTTTGGTTTTGCCTTTTAAATTTGTCCTCCTTTTTCTCAGACTCTGATTCACCCTCACTGGCTGGTGTCACTGAGGGACTTGATGGTGTTTTGTTTTTTCATCTTTCATATATATACTGGAATCGCTTCTCGATGGCTTCGTACCTTGCCCCGAACTGAGAGAATTGGCACGCGATGAAGCCTGGGAACTGTGGAAAGTTGCTTGTGACTGAGACGAAACCTGTGACTTGAAACCTCCTGTCAAGCTCTTCTCACTTGGATAAGAACTGAGGGAACTTGGAACATCTGCTCGCTGCAACACCTGCGTACTGGACAGATCAGATAGAGACCGCACCTGTGAACTTGGACAGACTGTGTGCGAGTGCGAACTGGAACTGGGAGGGACAGGTCGTTAGTGCGAAGCGGAAGGTTCTCCCATCAATCACGTCCCACTTTGATGCGAACTGAGAGAAGCTGGTGGTGTGGAAACCTGTGAACTGGGAGATACTTTTCGCGACTGCGAACTGATAGAAGAAGTTCGCGATTGTGAACTGTGAGATGAAGTTCGCGGGGAAGCCAGACAATTTGATGGAAATGCTAGGGGCTGAGAAGAGACATGCGCACGCGACGATGCACGCGACTGAGGAGAGACCTGCGCACCAGATGATGCCTGCGAACTACTCGAAGCAGTTCGCGATTGCGAACTAGAAGGAGCAACGGACGAAGGCACCTGTTTTCAATTGGCCGACAGTGTCTAGGGGGACTCCTTGCTCGGCTTCTAATTCTTCGGCGACGCTGTTTACGCAGGTGATTTATCATCTCGTCCAGCATCGTTTCCACACTTGTGGTACTATTCTCCATCTGCGCACGTAACAGTACTCTACTCCAGCGATCGGATGCTCTGATACCAATGATAGGAACTCTAATTTTGTAACAGTAAGTTGATAGTAAAATTGCAGAAAGGAAGAAGAAGATACAGACGAGGCGCTTCGAAAGGCCTCAACTCTCCCAATTTCCCAAATCCAAAATCTGCCTAACCTCTTATTTAACTCCACTCCTATTTATAATAAAATTCCCTTATGGGCCAGCCCAAGCTAACTAGTACCTAGCCCAAAACCCTTATTTATACAATATCACACTCCTTAGTACAATTCTATTATTAGTATTATTGGAGGTCCATGTCCCTATCAAATTCACGCGGTGATGGCGATGGCGCGAAAATGGTGCACCAATAAAACACATCAAAAAAATTTAAACATAACCTATACACAATATAAGTGTATGACTTAACCACCAATTAAAGAGTTAAATTTTTAAATAACCAAAATAGCACCACAAATAATTCAATTCAAATCAAATAACTTATATGGTCCAACCGTGCAGTCAACTGGCCCACAAAAAATGAGAGGAAGTGAGAAACAAAGAGAAACAGAGAACCACTTTTTACTTTACCAAAAAAGAGAATGGGTTTTAGAGAAAGGCTTTTAAGTTATTTTGCCAGACTTCAATCCAAAATAGCGAAGAACTAAAACCACGAAGCAAGCAGTCTTCGTGGATGGCAAGTGATTAGAGTCGGCGACCAGTTTCAGCAACAATCGACGGCGATGCAACCAGCTACAGTGACAGCGACCAACTACAGTGACTGCGACGACGACCAGCTACAGAGACCATCGAACCGAAGTCGTGACCCAGACGTGTGCGATAGCGCCATTAGTTGGTGCAAAATGGCGAGAGCGAGCGATAGCGCCATTAGTTGGTGCAAAATGGCGAGAGCGAGCGATAGCGCACATTTGGCAACGCAACCTGTAACCCGTGCGCCATAGCCAAAAATAGTGGCGAGGACCCCTGAATCGCCAAAGGCGAGAAATGGCGATTACCATTTGCGCCATTGACTACTATGATCAGAGCCAAAAAGAGAAGAAATATGAGAAAAATAAAAAAATAAGCTAAGATAAAAGTAAATATAATATAAAAATATCATAAGAATATATGAAAGAAAATATAAAAACATAAAGCGGGTGGAAACTGTGTCATACGAGTTTATGTGTCGCGGTTTTGGGCCAGGTGGAAACTGATTAAGCGGGTTGTCGATTTCCGGGTCTATCCGCTTGGACCGGTTGAGATCTGATAACACAGGTTGCTACCTCTGCTACTCTTGAGTTTATAATGATAGTGGAGTGAAGTATAATCAATTCAGTTTATGTGTTAGTAGTTACCTTTTCATGCGCATATCCAAATTATATCTGAACTTAAGAACTGTTTAATGCAATCACAGGTGTTGTGATCAACTAAATCATATACTTAAAGAAGGTCTCATAAATTGTACTCACTTAAAGCCTTAAATGACCTGTATATATTTTGATAGTTTTTGTTAACCAAACATGAGACTTGCACAACGCAAAAGATCTCAAAACCCATTTATCTATTTTTAAGCCCTTCAGGCACTTAAAATGTATTTGATGTGAAGGGGCAGGACTGCAGGATACTATATTTCCTATTTATAATTCAATATTCAATAGGAAATACTTGCTAACTTTGTTTTAATAATCATCATCCTGATTTTTTGTCAGCAACTCGTATCCATCAAAAAGGAACTTGAAGCCATGGCAAACGATAGTTTACGTTGTGTAGCTATTGCATATAGGTCTTATGACATGGATAAAATTCCTAGAAGCGAAGAAGAGTTGAGTTGTTGGGGATTGCCAGATGGAGATTTGACCTTACTTGCTATTTTTGGGATTAAGGTATTGATAATAATTTAATATTTGTGTTGATGTAATAGTTACTAAACTTACTATATTCGATTGCTTTGATGATATGGGTACTTAGTTGCATCTTACTAGTTAGTGCTGTAGTCTAATCATGACCATCCTTTGACCGTTTTCCATCCATTGATTTTCTGCTTCTCAGTCCTCCTCAGCATTCTGATTCGGAGCTGCTTCAGGTTCTTTGTTTTTTAAGCTTTCCACTAATTCATGTCTGCTACAGGATCCCTGCCGACCAGGTGTAGGAGACGCAGTTCAGTTATGCATACATGCTGGTGTTAAGGTAATCATGTGCATGTTTGGTTTCTTTATTATATTGTGCTAGAATCTAATTACAACAAGCCAATAACAAAAAGTACCACCATTTTTTGCTTCACATCACCTCTTTTTGTTTAGTAAAAATGGTCATGAATTAGACAACATTATTAATCTTCCAATAAATAATTAAACACCCGAATTCCATCTATGTTTATGGTATCTCCGGCGCAAACGAAGTCCAGAAAGCCTCATGTTGCATCTGAAGATGAAAAAGAATCACATGCAGATAGAGCAGATGCATTGTTGGTTTAGAGTAGTTCACAAGTTCATGACTGAAAGTGCCTTATACCTATGATGGCATAAAAATCATTTCCATGCAATGGACTTTTGAGCATGTAACAATTCGGGCTACTACTTCTGAGTTAGTACTTAGTAGTTGAAGTTCAAAACTAGATTATGCAATCATAGGTGTTATTATGATCTAAAGTCTTAAGTTTAGAGTTTTCCTCATTAACCATGATATGCGCCCATTGTACTTCTGGTCAAATTCAAATTGAGAACAGGTAAAAGATTAGATGAAATTGTTATATAGAGGTTATGACACGAAGAGCACACATATTGACCACTCAAGCGAGAAGTACCCCTATTAATTGAGGGAATGGAGCACTTTAATGTTCTTAAGCTTTGCATGAACTTGGTTAGACAGATAATGGTAATAATGTGTGATGGATAGAAAACCATAATGTGGGGTTGCCATTATTTATGAAAGTTTAGCAAAGATTTGACATCTTGTTGAGTGCAACAACATGAGTGTGGCAATTGAATAGATCCTCTGAAAAGCAGAATCTAGGTAAGCTAGATGTGGAAAAAGAGGTTTTAACATGCATGCATGCACTATGCATAAGGGAGAACTCAGCTTGCAGCTCACCATATATAACTTAATGAGGAAAACCAGTCTTAATTCCAAATTGAAGAGACTGGCTCACAAACGTCCTTGTATTGAACATTTTCACCTTCCTGTCTAGGGCTGTAGTCGAACCAAAGTTTCAGTTGTTTGAGTTCGGTTGGTTTACTATGATACTATAGACCCTAGCTCAAGTTCTTAGCTCTTTGTATTTCATCAATATGTGTTTGAGTTTAAAGCACATATTAAAAAGCACTTCCATTTTCAGTAAAAGCATAACTTGTTTACATTTACATCTATGTAAAAGTGCCTTTAACAAAATTGCACTCTTGTTAATTGTGTTAAATTGGGTATATTTCTTCAAATTCAATAGGTAAGAATGGTTACTGGTGATGGTATTCAAACTGCAAAAGCTATAGCTTTGGAATGTGGAATACTTGGGTCAGATTCGGATGCTACTGAGCCAAATGTGATAGAAGGGAAAGCCTTCCGTGCATTATCTGAGTCTGATAGACAAGAAGTTGCCGAAAAGATATCTGTACATATCGACACTGTTAAAGTAAACAATCTATATATATTTTGAATATGGCAAATTCTGATTCTTTATCCTGTATTTCTTACAGGTAATGGGAAGGTCATCTCCAAATGACAAACTCTTGCTTGTGCAAGCATTGAGGAAGAATGGGCATGTTGTCGCTGTGACTGGAGATGGAACTAATGATGCTCCTGCATTACACGAGGTATGTTAAAAACTAGGTTGCTGTTGGATGTCTAAACTTGTTACATACTTACATAATATGCTGACTTGTCTACTTCCATCAAGTACCCTAGTGTTCTCTTACCAATCATGTCATGCAAAAATGAAGACATTCATGTCTTCTGACTGGTTGTTGGTTGCTTCTCCAGAGTAACTCATGAAGTGTATTTTCCTGTTTCCTCTCTGTCTAGGCTGACATTGGTCTTGCTATGGGCATTCAAGGTACTGAGGTTGCCAAGGAAAGCTCAGATATCATCATATTGGATGACAACTTTGCTTCAGTTGTAAAGGTTAGTGAAATTCTGTGCCAGTTTATAATTATACAGGAGTTGTTCGTTGAAGACGCTTACAGGTCTATGCTATGTTTAAGACACATTGGTTGCATGTAGGTGAATCAAGTAGATTTTAAACTTATATGTAATTTAATTATATAGTTAAATCAGAGGACCGATTATATGGATTTTTTGTTGTAAGTTAATTTACTCCCCATATTATGCATTCATTTGTGCTAGACGTGCAGTTGAAACTAAGTAGAACCTAGAGCTAAAAATGTTCTCACTTCTAAGGCAACTATATATCCATTAAATGCAGCTAGCACATGGAGAAATCCAGTTAGCAATGAAACAATAAATATGAAATGGAAATGAGATGAGTTGATTTAAATAATATAAAAAACTTTTCAATATGCTTATATTTTAGTTAACCACTGGTTCCTTAATTAATACACCCCCTGTTCCTAGATTATTTACTTACTTTCTTTTGTAGTCCGTCGCGAACTTGTTACCCATCCCCTGGCAGGCAAAGCAGCTTGTGTTCGCATTATTTTTCATTTTTAAATTAATTTCAGCCACATAGTTTTCACTTGCTTAAACTTTGGTCAGTCAAACTAAGATATTATATAGATATAGAGGTAGTATGAGAATTGGTATATTAAAAAACAAGAAAATGAAAATAAAGTAAGAAATGAGACTCAAACACTTCAGATGTGTAAAATTGATTTTTTTTGCTTGCAACACAGCCTTAGAGTGGGTTTGGAATTTTGGGTGTTGACTGTCGACACAAGCAAGCTCAATTTTTAAGGATTGTTTTAGAAACGTGATATCTGTATATCCGATGTAAAGGAAAATGTGGAAGTGTTACTTTTAGTTTGCGAAGTGCTAATTTTAGTTTGGAAACATGATCACGGTTTTTTAGCCTCCAGAAGTGTTCTTAATCAATCACAAAAATAGTGTCAACATTTTTAACAAAGTTTTAGTTTTTTGAACGTGACAACCCTCTATGGATCTATCCCAAAGTATTTTGTGTTCTTTTTTGAACGTGACAAAAATAAAAACTTTCTTTTTCCCTCATTTATTTAGTTACTTCAAATAAATAACATATTAATTGCTGATTTCTAACATGGAATGTAGGTTGTTCGATGGGGTAGATCTGTGTATGCTAACATTCAGAAATTCATACAATTCCAGCTGACTGTGAATGTTGCAGCTCTTGTAATTAATGTGGTTGCAGCAGTATCTGTTGGAGATGTTCCATTGACTGCTGTACAGGTCTGCAATTATTAGACTATAGTTGTTGTTGAATTGGTGTGTATAATGTATGCTTGCTTACATAAACTTTGTATGTTGTGGTTTTACCATGCAGCTTCTTTGGGTAAATCTTATTATGGACACTCTTGGTGCACTTGCTCTTGCCACAGAACCACCCACTGATCATCTAATGGATAGACCTCCTGTCGGTCGAAGGTTAGACTTGTGGAACCTGGCAAATTCTTGTGCTGTCGTTCTATCAAATTTTGAATGTATCATTTTTTGCAGACCAGAGGGTTATGCAAATACGCTGGTTAAGTTTGGGGGTAGTAGGTAGTCTAAAGACTGAACACTGTCCCACAAACCCAAACACAAGTCATCAATAACCAAGCATTGTTTTAAAACATTTATTCAGGAAACAGTACATAATGCTTGGATTGTGCTCCTATTATTCAGGAAACATGTCTGATTGATGCCTATAAACTTTTAAAGTCTACATGCTTGTTTGTATCCATAATGCTACTTGGCTACTTGCTGGTTTGTACATTTTCAACAACAATACAATGCAGAATATTTGAATCTAAATAACGCTTTCAATTGTAATTTAGGGAGCCACTCATAACCAATGTCATGTGGAGGAACCTGATAATACAGGTACCGCTGTTCTGTGTGGCATCTGAAACATAGTTCTCAGTTCTCGCAGTCTTATATTTATTATATGTTCTGTTTATTTTGACTGACATATGATGGCATTGATACAGGCTTTGTATCAAGTTACTGTTTTGTTGGTCCTCAACTTCCGTGGTAAGGGTATCTTGAAATTGGATAACTCCAACCGTGACCATGCTGCTGATGTGAAGAATACAGTGATTTTCAACACATTTGTGCTCTGCCAGGTATTCATCAATGAAATAAATGAAACATTGTAGTAAACATGCTTTGTTCCATCATTTGCAATGGAGCCAAAGATTCATTATTTTTTGGCTTGAGATTATGATGGAATAAAGCAAAATTGCTCACTAAACTGTACGCGCTTCTTTGTTATGGAGCAACAGTCTGTCCATGCAATTTTGGACGCGATTTTCACTATGGGTCATCCGGAAACAGTCTCTCTGTGCTTTAGTACAAGGGTAAGACTGCGTACATCCGACCCCCCTTACCCCACTGTAGGTGGGAGCCTTTGTGGCACTGGGGTAAATGAAAATGAAAATGATTGTAGTAAACATGCTTTGCCTGCTCTATTACACTATTTGTAATTCAATTTATGTGTCTTGAAGACTCGAACCTTCGTTTTTTTACATATTTTAAATTTTATTGGTACATATTTTGTTGACTTGATCAACATAATGGCTTCTTACTCATGCACGATCCATTTTGTAGATATTCAACGAATTCAATGCCCGGAAACCTGATGAGATCAACGTTTTTAAAGATGTTCACAAGAACCGTTTATTTGTGTCGATTGTCAGCTTTACCCTTGTACTTCAGGTGCTTGTCCTTTTTAAACTTTGGGCATAGTAAACTGCTGGTTCTATTGGTATTTTTTGTACCTACAACTCCATGATATCTTGAGCATAGTACAAGACCTATATAAGGAAATACTGGATCTAATTCATGTAGAACAACGAAGGCTAACCTTAAGTTGTAGAGTAATCGTAAATTAGGATATTACCAAAAACATGCCGGTTGTATTTACCATTGCTATAATTTAACAGTTATCACTATATGTGCTGACTTATTTTTCCTTTGTCAGGTTATCATTATCATGTTTCTTGGAAAATTCACCTCAACGGTTAGACTCAGTTGGAAACTATGGCTGGTTTGTATCGCTATTGGCTTTATCAGGTCCGTTTTGTGATCTCCACTCATCCTCTTATGGTGCATGTAGTTCACTATTGATACTTATATCATAATTGTGGACTCGGGGTATTTGTTGAATTGTTCTTCTAGTATTGTTGGCCACTATCTAAATCTAATTGCTATGAAACAGCTGGCCTCTTGCCGCCCTTGGGAAGTTGATACCTGTTCCTGAGATGCCATTCAGTGAAGCCTTGTGTGGAAAAAGGCACATTCGAAGATGAGTTTCAGACTTTCAGGTGACGACCATACTTATTTTTATTTCTTCAAAATTTGATTATATAAGCACATCGATTATCCCCTGTATTGTTTAAAAGTTTTGTTTTGTTTTGTTTTGTTTTGTTTTGTTAACATTAACATCTGGAGTGCTTCAGGTTTGTAGGGTCGCTTCCATGAAGAGTGGTGAACAGTAGTGGATATGGATGCAACAGAGTTTATGTGCCAATGTCAGCTTTTGCTCTCATCATCCACGATATACAGTGCTAACAGTGTGTTAAACATGTACATAAAACTTTATTGTAGTTAGAATCTAATTATATGCAAATGCTACCTTTTCTCCCTACAACCCAAGCTTTACAAATTTGTGCATGTGCATGTTTGATGTAGGCTTAGAGTTTTCTGACCCTCAATCTATGAAAATTTTGCTACCTTCTCAGTTCTCTGTTTTTTGTCACAATCTAAACCACACAAAATATAATGAGTTTCTTGTAGCCATGTTGTGCCTTACCTCACGACGATTGCTTTTAAGCTTTCCCGTTTTGGCTACACGCAATTGCTTTGCTCACTTGCTTCAACAATGTTTTGTACCAATTGTTTACCCATCTGCTTGTTTTACTTTTTCTGCCATCATCACTTTGCCATCACATGTTTGCTACTTTGTTGCAACTAATTGCCCATTTTCCAGAAAATGGTACATCTAGACTTGGACTCGGGCCGGTTCTGGCCCAGGCCGGCGGTTCTGAATAGCTGGACCCGGGAGCGGCCTGGGTAGCCACCGGGTCCGGGCCGGGCCTCGGGTTTGATTAATTTTTTTTTTGCTTACCTACCCATCCCTGAACCCCCCACCCCCCAAACGCCCCAAACCGCTCCTAAACATCAAGCTCAACCTGGGTGGAGCCCAAACAAATAAAAAAATCAAAAAAAAAATTCAATTTGGCCCAAATCGGGCTCGGTTTACCCGGACCGGTCACTAGAATAGATGGAGATGAAGATGGAGAATGGATATTGGATATTGGAGAAGATTTGTATAAAAATGTTAGAAAACCGGAGTATTTATAGAAATTTTTGTACCCCCACCCCTACCCTCTAGACACCCTTGATTCAAGCACCCAACCGCTATATAGCTGTTTGGGGCCTTGAGGCTTTTGCCTTTGATTCCTTTTTTTTTGTTTATTTTAGTTTGAATAAATTACATAATGTAAAATTAATTAATTAATTTAATAAATTAAGTAAAGCTATTTTTACTTAGAAACTAAGAAAGGTAGTGTGATTTAGAATTTACAAATGTCACTATATATGTATATTTATACAGATTACATATCGTAAACCTAATTTTAATTTAAAAACAGATTTAGACAAAATAAGTTGTAAGTTTTAACCAATTAATTAATTTGAGAAGTGCTACGTATAAAAAAATGAACGTATATTTATTTGAAATATGAATTACAAGTTTACAAGTTACAATTGAGAATTGAAGGAAAAATTAAAACATGAAATGCTAATCAATCGGAATCTCCGGAATAGGTAGAGCCACCATTGGTTGTTGATTCATCTATAAAGTGTTGGGGATGGGGTGATGACAATTTCTTGAGCTCTACGTGCCACCTTCAACCAATTGTGGTAGCAAGAGGTTCTGCGCTCAATCTCGTTCTAGATTACGTTAGGACATTGTCGACCGAACTAAATTCTTGTTTCACGTCAATTGTTGAAATCGGCATTGATAGCACTTGTTTAGTCATCTTTGCTAAAATCGGGAACATTCTTTTCCCTTCCACTAGTTTAGAACGTCAAATTCATCTTCTTCAAAATCAACATCATCTGTTAAATACAAAGAAATTTCATTAATTGTGCTTTGTTGAGTAGTAGGAGTTGTTTTAGTTTTTTTAATAAGATTGGCAAATGTAGATTTGAAACTCATCTTTGTTTTAGATGAAGATGTTTGTGTCGGAGGAGGGGCGCAGTGCCATATTGTGCATGGAACTCATTAAAATATGTCACTAACCTCGTTGTATTCTTTTTTATAACATGACATGCAGATCGTTGATGAAAAACTCTACCCATCAAAGAAATAGAACCACACAATTCATGCAATCTAGGAATAGCAACAATATTATTAGTAGCATTATCAAAACCAATAGCAAACACCTTATCATTCAAATTATACTCAATTAAAACACGTTCAATCAAAATATAAATATGTTCAGCGGTGTGATGATCATTAAATTCACAAAAAGCAAGAACACATTTATGCATATTCCAATCATTATCAATATAATGTGCAGTCAGACCCAAATAATGTAAATTATGATAAATATCCTCCCATATGTCAGAACATACGGTAACACCCCTATCAAAGATATGAAAAAATGTTTAAGATTAGGAGTGTTTATAGTTTTTTTTTACCCCACCCCACCCCCCAAACTAGGGATGGACCCGGGCCGGGCCCGGGCGGGCTTTTTTTGCAAAATGCTGGGCCCGGAACCGGCCCGTGTTGATACCGGGTCCGGGCCTAACCAGGCCGGGCCGGGCCCGGGTCAATGTCTATTTTTTTGCTTTCTTGTTATCCCACGACCCCCCCTCACCCCCCCAAACCTCCCTAAAACACCCAGCCCTACCCTAAGAAAAGAAAAAAGATTGAAAAAAAAAAAAATGACCCGGGCCCGGCCCGAACCGCTCGGGTCGGTTCGCCCAAAACTGGGCCCGAGCCCGGCCCAAGCCTGCCCCGCCCAAACGGGCTAAAAGCACGGTACCGGCCAACCGGTCCCGGTCCGGTCCGGACCCAAACAGTAGCGGTTCAGGGCCGGCCCAATCCATCCCTTCCCCAAACTGCCCGAACCCCCTGCCAGCCCACCCAACGGCTATATAGCCGTTTTGGTAGTCACAGCCTTGCCTAATGACTCTTTTGGCCCAAAACAAAAAAAAATTGACCGTTGTGACCTGGACCTAGTCGGGGGGGGGGGGGGGGGGGGGGGGGTTGTAGGGTTTGGGGGGTGAGGGGGTTAAGTAGAAAAGCCAAAAAAAAAACAAAATAGACCCGGCCCGATACCGGTAGACTCCTGGGCCGGTCCCGGGACTAGGACCGAACCGGAACCGGACCGGGCCCGGTCCATGCATACTCATAGCGATGATATATAAAATGCATGTCAATTTGTCAAGGTTCTCAAACAAAATTATACTCCGTATGCTTTAACTTTATACAATAACTAAATTTGTTCTTGCATAGTACTCCCAGTCTCATATATCATGGCTTACATGTAAAATGATAACTTGAAATAGCCTGGACAAGGTTTCATTTTCAATAATAGACAATCACCACTAGCCGGCCTGTTTGTTATGTAACGGATTGCAACGATAAAAAAAGTAACGACTTGCATACGGAAGTATTAAAATCAACTCATGTTTCATGCTCTGTTATTACACGTACATTGCACATGAGTGAAAATCCACTCATGTAGTATTTAATAATTTTAGAAAATTAAGAGGAAAAACAAAAAATTACACAAAATTTTATGCAAAGAAACTGAAACATGTTTATATATTATAGAGAACCCTTAAACTTTCTTTTGGTGGCAGAGCACTTAAAACTTTAAAAAGGTAATAAAGGTACTAAAAATACAATAAATGTAATAAAAATTATAAAGGTTGAAAACAATAAATAATTGTATTTTAAATACGTACACTAAAATAAAATAAAATAAAATAAAATAGAATAAAATAAAATAAAACGAAAAAAGTACAAAAAAAGAATCCTTATAAATGGAGAAAAAATTATAAACAAACATGTAGTACGTAAAACTAGATAAATATGTTTTGGAACTACTAAAAAGTATGAAATGTAATTGTAATTTTTTATGAAAGAATATATTTTTTAAGATGGAATAATTCCATAGTAAAAACTCTATAAAATCTAGATGTCTATATAATTTTAAAATATTAAAAAAATCTAGAATAATTTGTAAAGTACAACAAAATAGAAAAATATAATTCATAAATTTGAAAACAATATCAAAAAATTAATTATAAAAAGTGTATAATATTAAAAACTAGAAAATTAAAAAAATAAAGACTTAAAATGCTGAACACGTAAAAAATTAAAATTGAAAAATTGAAAATTAAAATTTTTAATTCAATAATTTTAAAATATTTTTAAATATAATTATTATCTTATTGCTAGTTCCGTAGAATATTGTTTCCTTGTGTTTCTTTTTGTTGATAACTTTATTTGTATGTTTTTTATTGTTTCACCATGTTTGTGGTTGTTCGTAATATTCATAATTCCACATTTATAATTTTAGGTGTTCATATATATATATGGGAGGGTTCAAATACAAAGAGGTCTTCCCATGCAAAGTGAGAATTAATCTCGTGCGTTCATTTTGAGATCTAATGGCTCAAAATGAGCCAAAAGTGAACTAAATTTGATCAAAAATGCGGTGGCAATTTCGTAATTAAAATGAAGTTTTTTGCCATTGCGAAAAAGTGCAATAGAAACATGCAAAAGTGCAACGCGGTGAAGAAAAAGTGCAATTGTTCGCACTTTACACGGGAGAACCTCTTTTTATTTATTCTCTTCCCTATATATATATATATATATATATATATATATATATATATATATATATATATATATATATATATAGAATAATTTGTACCGGAGCTGAGGCTGCGGCAGTGAAGGATGCCGATGATGCTGTCGCGAAGTTCCTGGCCGAAGGCTGGAAGGCCGACGAGCGCCTCCCTTGGTGCTATGAGGTCGTGGCGGCCAAGCTTGAAGATTGGGGGCAGAACTCCCCTGCCGGCCAAGAATACTTTGAACGAGAGATGTCCGTGTATTACAACATGGGCCAGCATCGGATGCAGAGGCTCATCTACCGGCGGCTGAGTCGCGCTCTTCGGACCTTGAACTATACCCGGGGTTGGGTCAGGCGGAATCTGCGGCTTCCTCGGCTAATGAGAGATCCGGAGGAGCAGGTCAACCTTCATCTATGTGATAGGCACGCTCCGATAGAGAGTTCCGGCCTGGGCGAACCAGAGTACGAGGAGGACGACTACTTGGATGACACCGCCACTTCCGCTGTCGAGGCCGGCCTGGATCCTGAGATCGAAGTTGGTGCCGAGCTTGTCGCCGAGGAGGACGTTGCGGGCCATGCTGCCGACGAGGCCGCCACAAAGCCATGATCGTCCATAACCTTTTTCAACTTGTAATCAGCCTGTTGTTTTATAATCTTGACTGTAACGGCCGAAGTGCCCCCCATGTACTGATTAATGTTAATGAAACATTTTCATGGCACTTGCTGTCTTTGTCGTCTTGTTCACTGTTGGTTCTTTTTTTTTCTCTTTCCAAAAATTTGTCTAAGTATTTTGGAATTGGAACTTAGGAAATTCTTCTAAGTATCCAAGCTTCAAGTGGGTGGGTGTTCTCATCGTCTTGGTTCTAAGCCCCCTTTCACTGTTGACAGATGCTTTGGAAAATTTCCTAAGTGTTGAACCAATATGCCACGCGTGGTGTTCTTGTCGGCCCGGTGTTCTTCGTGGCCGCTTT